GGGACTGGGATGCTCGGGAGAAGGTGAGGACTGGGATTTTCCTTGGATAAGACCGGGATGTGCCCGGGATGCACCCGGGATGCTCAGGGAGGTGTTTCTCCTCCCAAAAATGGCATCTCCTCCTGATCCATCACCTTCCTCCAGCAGCTCCACACCCCAGGGACCAAGATGCTCAGGGGAAGCTGGGGAAGGTGAGGACCAGGAATTTCCTTGGATAAAACCAGGATGTGCCCGGGATGCGCCCGGGATGCTCAGGGAGGTGTTTCTCCTCCCAAAAATGGCATCTCCTCCTGATCCATCACCTTCCTCCAGCAGCTCCACACCCCAAGGACCGGGATGCTTGATGGAAGGTGGGGACCAGGAATTTCCTTGGATAAGACCGGGATGTGCCCGGGATGTGCCCGGGATGCTCAGGGAGGTGTTTCTCCTCCCAAAAATGGCATCTCCTCCTGATCCATCACCTTCCTCCAGCAGCTCCACACCCCAGGGACTGGGATGCTCGGGAGAAGGTGAGGACTGGGATTTTCCTTGGATAAGACCGGGATGTGCCCGGGATGCACCTGGGGTGCTCAGGGAGGTGTTTCTCCTCCCAAAAATGGCATCTCCTCCTGAACCATCACCTTCCTCCAACAGCTCCACACCCCGGGGACCAGGATGCTCAGTGGAAGGTGGGGAAGGTGAGGACCAGGAATTTCCTTGGATAAGACCGGGATGTGCCCGGGATGCACCTGGGGTGCTCAGGGAGGTGTTTCTCCTCCCAAAAATGGCGTCTCCTCCTGAACCATCATCACCTTCCTCCAGCAGCTCCACACCCCGGGGACCAGGATGCTCAGTGGAAGGTGGGGAAGGTGAGGACCAGGAATTTCCTTGGATAAGACTGGGATGTGCCCGGGATGTGCCCGGGATGCTCAGGGAGGTGTTTCTCCTCCTGAAGGTGGAGATCATGATCTCCACCTTCATGATCCTGATCCATCATCTTCCTCCAGCAGCTCCAAACCCTGGGGACTGGGATGATCAGGAGAAGGTAGGGAAGGTGAGGACCAGGAATTTCCTTGGATAAGACTGGGATGTGCCCGGGATGTGCCCGGGATGCTCAGGGAGGTGTTTCTCCTCCCAAAAATGGCATCTCCTCCTGAACCATCACCTTCCTCCAGCAGCTCCACACCCCGGGGACTGGGATGCTCAGTGGAAGGTGGGGAAGGTGGGGACCAGGAATTTCCTTGGATGAGACCAGGATGTGCCCGGGATGCACCCGGGATGCTCAGGGAGGTGTTTCTCCTCCCAAAAATGGCATCTCCTCCTGATCCATCACCTTCCTCCAGCAGCTCCACACCCCAGGGACCAAGATGCTCAGGGGAAGCTGGGGAAGGTGAGGACCAGGAATTTCCTTGGATAAAACTAGGATGTGCCCAGGATGTGCCCAGGATGCTCAGGGAGGTGTTTCTCCTCCCAAAAATGGCATCTCCTCCTGATCCATCACCTTCCTCCAGCAGCTCCACACCCCGGGGACCGGGATGTTCGGGAGAAGGTGGGGACCAGGAATTGCCTTGGATAAGACTGGGATGGGCCTGGGATGCGCCTGGGATGCTCAGGGAGGTGTTTCTCCTCCTGAAGGTGGAGATCATGATCTCCACCTTCATGATCCTGATCCATCATCTTCCTCCAGCAGCTCCAAACCCTGGGGGGGGATGCTTGGGAGAAGGTGGGGAAGGTGGGGACCAGGAATTTCGTTGGATAAGACCGGGATGTGCCCGGGATGCACCCAGGATGCTCAGGGAGGTGTTTCTCCTCCCAAAAATGGCATCTCCTCCTGAACCATCACCTTCCTCCAGCAGCTCCAAACCCGGGGACTGGGATGCTTGGGAGAAGGTGGGGACCAGGAATTGCCTTGGATAAGACCAGGATGTGCCCGGGATGCACCCAGGATGCTCAGGATGCCAGGATGCCCAAAAATGGCGTCTCCTCCTGATCCATCACCTTCCTCCAGCAGCTCCACACCCCAGGGACTGGGATGCTCAGGGGAAGGTGAGGACCAGGAATTTCCTTGGATAAAACCAGGATGTGCCCGGGATGCGCCCGGGATGCTCAGGGAGGTGTTTCTCCTCCCAAAAATGGCATCTCCTCCTGATCCATCACCTTCCTCCAGCAGCTCCACACCCCAAGGACCGGGATGCTTGATGGAAGGTGGGGACCAGGAATTTCCTTGGATAAGACCGGGATGTGCCCGGGATGTGCCCGGGATGCTCAGGGAGGTGTTTCTCCTCCCAAAAATGGCATCTCCTCCTGAACCACCATCACCTTCCTCCAGCAACTCCAAACCCGGGGACTGGGATGCTTGGGAGAAGGTGGGGACCAGGAATTGCCTTGGATAAGACCAGGATGTGCCCGGGATGCACCCAGGATGCTCAGGGAGGTGTTTCTCCTCCCAAAAATGGCGTCTCCTCCTGAACCATCATCACCTTCCTCCAGCAGCTCCACACCCCAGGGACCAGGATGCTCGGTGGAAGGTGGGGAAGGTGAGGACCAGGAATTTCCTTGGGTAAAACCAGGATGTGCCTGGGATGCACCCGGGATGCTCAGGGAGGTGTTTCTCCTCCTGAAGGCGGTGTGTCCTCCTGATCCATCATCTTTCTCCAGCAAGGACTGGGATGCTTGGGAGAAGGTGGGGAAGGTGGGGACTGGGATTTTCCTTGGATAAAACCGGGATGTGCCTCGGATGCGCCCGGGATGCTCAAGGAGGTGTTTCTCCTCCCCAAAAATGGCATCTCCTCCTGATCCATCACCTTCCTCCAGCAGCCGCAGCCCATAAGGCCCCGTTACGCCAAAGAGCTTATTTAAACGAGGCTAATTTAAGGCTCTAAATGAGCTGGGCTGCTTTTGCCTCCTCCTTTTTCCGAGGCGACGGAGGGGTGGCAGCCGGCGGAGCACGCATGAGCAGCTCGGGAAGAAAAATGAAGAGGGGGGTAATAAAATATATATCTAAAAAAAAAAGACAAATGGGGTCTAATTGGCGTAATGGGGTCTAATTTGTTTTCGAAAGCCGCCTCTCTCCTGACCCAGGGAATTGGCAGCGGGTGACAAATCCCCGCCGCGTGCGAACGAGCCGCCTTCTCGGGCAGCTTTATGGCTCCCCCCTGACACGAGCCCCTCGTTAAATCAAAACCCAGAGATAGCTCCAGAATTAAACTGTCAGGATAAGGCAATGCCCGTCTCTGCTGGGCTCCTGCAACCTCGTCCCTCTCCGGGGTGGGATTGATGCACCCCAGGCACCCACCGCCCACCCTCCCGGGGCAGAGGGGAACGGGGATGGGATGGGGATGGGATGGGATGGGATGGGATGGGATGAAGGGGATGGGATGGGATGGGATGAAGGGGATGGGATGGGGATGGGTTGGAGATGGGGATAGGATGGGATGAAGGGGATGGGATGGGATGGAATGGGATGGGATGGGATGAAGAAGGGGATGGGATGGGATTAGGATGGGGATGGAGATGGGATGGGATGGAGATGGGATGGAGATGGGATGGGATGGGATGGGTTGGAGATGGGATGGGATGGGATGAAGGGGATGGGATGAAGGGGATGGGATGGGGATGGGTTGGAGATGGGGATAGGATGGGATGAAGGGGATGGGATGGGATGGAATGGGATGGGATGGGATGAAGAAGGGGATGGGATGGGATTAGGATGGGGATGGAGATGGGATGGGATGGAGATGGGATGGAGATGGGATGGGATGGGATGGGTTGGAGATGGGATGGGATGGGATGAAGGGGATGGGATGAAGGGGATGGGATGGGGATGGGTTGGAGATGGGGATAGGATGGGACGAAGAAGGGGATGGGATGGGATTAGGATGGGGATGGGATGGGGCAGGGTGGGGAGAAACACCCCCCCCAGACCCCCCTTCTCCATCAGCAGCCGCTCGATGAGCGGAGAATTATTGCCAGTGCGATAACCGCCTGTGACCATCAATTATTGTCTAATCTGCGGAGCGGTTTAGGGCTGGAATGGTTCTACCTGGGGGACAGGAGCCTTCAGATGAGCCGGGGGATAGAAGAGGCTTAAAAATGACAATAAAAAGCCGTCTCACGGAGAAAATCAAAGTGCTTTTGCAGGCTGTTGGGGTGCGGGGAGGGGGACACTGGGTTGGCACCCGATTCGTGGTGTTCGTGCTGAGTCCTGTCCCCAGGGAAGATGAATCTGCTTCGTTAAGCACCACACTGGTCTGGTGGGACAATGAGGGACTTCAAGGCCAGGTTGGACAGGGCTTTGCGCAACGTGGGCTGGTGGGAGGTGGGGTCCAGGGTAGAACTGGATGGTCTTCAAGGTCCCTTCCAACCCAAATTTTATGACTAGATCACTGATCCCTTCTGATGGAACCAGGCTTCAGCATCACCTCCCTCTGGTGCCACTCCCCCAACGGCACCCACAGGCATGGGGGTGGGCATGGCCAACTGGTCCCCAAAACATCTGGGAGAAGCAAACCCCCAAGTCCTCTCCAGCCATCTGTCATCCATTCACCCACCATCCATCCATCCATCATCCATCCACCTAGCTCCTCTCTATCCATCTGTCATCCGTTCATCCATCATCCATCCATCCATCCATCCGTCATCCATCCAGCCATCCACCACTCATCCATCCTTCCATCCACCGTCCATCTGTCCATCCACCACCCATCTATGCACCCATCCACCACCATCCATCTATCCACCATCATCTGTCTACCCATCCATCCATCCATTCACCATCCAACCATCCATCCACCATCCAACCATCCATCCATCCACCACCCAACCATCCATCCATATCCATCTATCCGTCTATCCATCCATCCACCACCCAACCATCCATCCTCCACCCAGCAGAGCCCAGCACCCTGCTGAGCAGCCCAGCTCCTCCTCCTTCAGCCCAGGTGGGACATCTCAAGCCTTTATTAGGGGCTCTACCAGCAGCAGCTGCTCAAGGCAGGGCTCAGATCCTGCTTGCACCTCCAGTTGCCTGCTTGGCCTCCCAGAAGATGCAGCCAGGAGACAGCAGCTCTCGCCCGTTCAAGCAGAGGAAGAGCCTCGGTACGTTACTGGGGATGAGGGGAGCAGCAGAACAGAAATGTGGTGTTGGGGAGCACTTATTACTCCTTCTTTTCTCTTCCACAGCCACCAGGATGCATGAAGTGACGGAGATCCGGATAAAATATCCCAACAAGATCCCGGTAAGGGCTGGGGTCCACCTGAAAGCCAAGCTGTGGGACTCTTTGTGGCTTGACTCTGAAGACCAGAGCTCTGCTTCCCTGGGCACCCCCACAAGAGTGGACCCAAAACCCCCCTCCCAGTCCCTGTCTCCTACTCCAGCATCTTTTCCCCCCCGCCTTGTAGGTGGTTGTGGAGCGCTACCAGAAGGAGAAGACCTTGCCACCCTTGAACAGGACCAAGTTTCTGGTGTCCCAGGACCTGCCCCTGTCCCAGTTTGCTGTCACCCTGCGGTAAGTGGTTAATGACAAAGTGGGGGGTCAAGGCTTTCTTGGGGTGAGGGAGGGGGTCCACAGCCCTGGACCAGTGTGAAAACCCAGTCTAGATGGAGCTGGGCTGGTGAAAGAGCTTGGCTTGGAAGCCACTTTGGCTGCTCCATTGGCCAAGTGGTTGGTTTTTTTATTTTTGGGCAGGTGTTTAGGCTTAGCCTAATGCAATTAGCCTTTGTAATTAGCAAAGCACACTTGTTTGCCAGTGCATGGGGGTGCCTCATAGCCAGCATTTCTCCACCCTTGCTGGGTGGGAGAGTGGAGGTGTGACCCTTGGGTGACAATTAGCTCTCTTCCCTGGGGGGGACCTGCAGCAGAGGTGAATGGTTAATTGGGGGGAGGTGATTAGCAGCCCTGCCAACCAGCAGCTCTGCTCCAGCTGAGAAGAAACCCTTTGTGCTCTGGGTTCTGCTTGAAATCTTCCTCCAGGACCAGCATCTCCTGGCAGCAGAGTTCAGGATGGATGGAGGTGAGATCTTGTGGCTGGGGGTTGGCACTTAGAGGTGTTTTGGGGAGCAGCCCTGACACCCACCTTCGTGCCGAAGGGCATTAGAGGGAGGTGATGAGCCAGAAGTGTGCCCAGGTGGCCAAGGCAGCCACCAGCATGGCCTGTGTGAGGAAGAGTGTGGCCAGCAGGACTGGGGCAGTGATTTTCCACCTGGACTTGGTACTGGTGTGTGTCGTGTCCAGTTTTGGGCTATCATCACAAGAAAGACATCGAGGGGCTGGAGAAAGTCCAGAGAAGGGTAATGGGGCTAGTGAAGGGTCTGGAGAACAAGGAGAGGGGTCTGGAGCCTAAGGAGAAAGGTCTGGAGAACTTGTGAGGAGCAGCTGAGGGAGCTGGGGTTGTTCAGCCTGGAGAAAAGCCCCAACAGAGGGATGTCTGATACCACATGACATCGTGCTCAGCAATAAAACTGGGTAAAGATCTTCCTGCTGATGGGAAGGGGTGAATTAATTCCTTATTTTCCTCTGCTTCTGCACACAGGTTTGGCTTGACCTATTAAACTGTCTTTATCTCAAAAGTCCAGTCTTCAAGGCCAGGTTGGATGGGGCTTTGAGCAACCTGGTCTAGTGGGAGGTGTCCCTTGCCCAGGGCAAGGGGTTGGAACTGGACGGGCTTTAAAGGTTCCTTCCATCCCAAACCATTCTATGAAGCTCAGCCCTTGTGGGAGGGACCACAAGCACCGTGTCCCCCATGGATGGGTCCTCCTTAGGGTGCCACCATGTTGCTTGGTGTTGGACAATACTCACCTGCATGTTGTCTTCCCTTTCTCTGTAGGACACGGCTCTGCTTGGCCTCCTCCCAGACCTTCTACCTGCTGGTGAACAACAAAGGGCTGCCGAACATGGCTGTGACCATGCAGGAGCTGTACCAGGACAACAAGGACGAGGATGGCTTTCTCTACCTGACCTACGCCTCCCAGGAGATGTTTGGTGGCTCCTCCTCCAACGAGCCAGCAGCTGCTTGATCCCAAAACCACTTGCCACCACCGTGTCCTCGTGGCTGCCCATCTCAGGGCTCCGATGCTGGTGAGATTGGGGATGTATCTCCCTGGACTTGGCTTAAAAATCTGTGGGGAGCCCCAGATTGTGGCTGGACCAGACCTCACCTTCTCTCTGGCTGCAGTTGGAGAGGCTCAGATCTGAAATGGTCTTAAAAACCTCCTCTCAACACCTCCTTAACCTTGTGGCTTCGGTCACAAATTTTTCTCCCAACCCAGCAGAAGATGGGGCTGGTTGACTCTGATCTACAGGAAGGTGGTTGTTCTTCTAAAGGGGCTTTAAAGCCTGTTGTCCCTGTCCAGAAAAGTGGGGGTCCCTTCAGGATGGGGTGTGATGGGGGGGTTCGTGCAGGTTTTTGTGACATTGTGTGTCCGTTCCAGCTGCTCTTGGAGAATCCATGCTCTTGAGATGTGGAATAAAGAAAAATTGGCCGGTGTCTCTGGTCATCTAAAGGTAGTTTGTCGCTTGGGTGGGGAACCAACCTAAACCTTGGGGCTTTGGCTCTGACTTTGGGGTGCCAGTGGATAAATTTGGGGGGGCAGAGCACAGAAAGGGGAAGGTACTTTGCTTTTATGATTGTGGGAGCAGAGAGAGACCCCCCTGAAGAAGAAGATCTCCTTGTTTGATTCCCCTCTGCAGAATTGGGGAGGAAAAAGGGGGTTGTCCCCCCACTCCCACCACCGAGCAGCACCCCAAGGATGGGGGGCCAGAGGGGAAAAGCTGCAGCAGGGACTGAGGTGAGCCCGAATCCTGCTGTTGGGCTGTGAGTCAGCCACAAACACTGCCTGCAAAACTCCTCTTCAATATTTAAGGCTTCCCTGGCCATAAAAAAAAAAAAAATGCCTCGTCACACCCGGGGAGTATTTCAGGCACGTTTTCCTGTTAAAATGTTAATAAATAAGCTCTAAAATTAGCTGTCACAACAGCAGGAGCCTGATGCGCTGGGGGGTGGTGGTGGGGTTGAGACTGGTTCCTCTCCTCGCAGGGATGGAGAGGGGGTGTAGGGGGGGTCTGCTGTGACCCCCCCCCAGATGGATGCAGCCCCCAGATTGTGCAACAGCAGGTTTTTTCCTGAGATTTTGGGCTGGCTCAAGGCTGAGCTGGGGCACCAGGGGCATTTTCATGGGGAGATTAGAATTATAGAAGGGTTTTGGGAGGGAAGGGACCTTAAAGCCACCCCCACAAAACCCAACCAGGTTGCTCCAAGTCCCCTCCAACCTTGGCCTTGAACCCCTCCAGGGATGGGGCAGCCACAGCTTCTTGGGGCAACCTGGACCAGGCTCTCCCCACCCTCAGAGTCAACAATTTCTCCCTAAATCTCCCCTTTTTCACCTTAAAACCCTTCCCCCTGGTCCCATGGCTCCCCTCCCTCATCCCTGCTCCTTCCCCATCTCTTCTGGAGCCCCTTGAGGGACTGGAAGGGGCTCCAAGGTCTCCCTGCAGCCTTTTCTTCTCCAGGCTGAACCCCCCAACTCTCTCAGCCCCCCCTCCCAGCAGAGGGGCTCCAGCATCTCCGGGGCCTCCTCCAGCCCCACTCCAACATCTCCGTGTCCTTCTGATGCCCCCAGAGATGGGGGACATCCCCCCAGAGCGGGGCAGAGGGGCAGAATCCCCCCCTTCTTGCCCTGCTGAGTATCCAGCCCAGGTTGTCGGGGTCTTTCTGGGCTCCTGTTGAGCTTCTCACCTCCTGACACCCCCAAGTCCTTCTCCTGAGGGATGCTTCCCAGCCCTTCACCCCTCACCCTGGTTTTGGGGTGACTGCTCCATCCCACTCGATCACTGGAGATAAGGGGTGAACCCTATTGATGGGGGAGCCTGATTTGGCATCTTGGGGTGCAACTGATGCTCTGCTCCTGGTGATGGAGGTGGCTCTGGGGCTGCTGGCAGGGAAAAGCAGGAAACGCTTGTCATTCCCTTCTCTGAAACCAGCCGGGAGCTGCAACCCTTAAAGCAAAGAGCAGAGGTGGGGCCAGGATGCAGAGGCTCCACAAACCTAATTTTCCCCAAGAAAAGGGGCTCAAAAGCACATTCATGACATTGCTGAGCTCTGGACCCTCTTACCTTGGTGCTGTGGGGGATATTTTTGCCCATGGAGGGGGAAAAACGCTGCTGCCTTCCCCATCCCCTTCACCTGGGCTCCATCACCTTGAGCCTTTTTTATTTTCCAGTCTTTTATCCCGACAACAGCGTTTACCTCCCCAACTCCTGGAGCTTCCCAGGCAGATGTTTGGAGGCAGGCTTCCTGTTTGGGGTTGGTTTGACTTTTTTTTTTATTTTTTTTTTTTTAACAAACGTATATTTAAGTTGTCAGCCTGCAGCTGATCCGTTTATATCTAAACTCCTCTCTCTTTCTCTCTCTCTCTCCCTGTTGAATAGGGAAGGGGCTGGCACGCCACGCAGTGTTTGCACACACACACATGCAGCTTCCACGCTCGTCTTACCTCTAAGACATCCTATAATTAAAACCCTGAGCTCCTTGGGGCGAGAACTCTCTGTTTTATGTGTGGATATTATTTATTAGGGTTGCTGCAGTCCATAGGGCTGGCTCAGAGCAGCCTGGATCTTCACTTCCCTTCACCATTGAATTTCCTTTATGCACGTGTGTGTGCATACATTATTTTTCCCCACCAGCATCCCTTGGATACCTGGAATCTGCTGGAAGCAAAGCAGAGAAGCCACATGAATTGTTGGGGAAGGGGGGGGACCCCTCTCTCAATCCATCCTCTCCTGTCCTGACCTTGTGACAGAGCAGGATGGATGGGGCTGGCATTTGTCAGATGAAAGCGTATTTTTCACCGGCACCGGGGGAATTGCTTCTCAGAAAGCTTCTGCTTTCAAAAGGAGGGGTTGAAAGCAAAGGAGAGGCCGGGGAGGCTTGTAGCTGAGCTCTCCCTAAAAGCTTTCACCGCTCGGAGCATCACCTCCACGCCGGGTGACCTGGGGAAGGAGGGGGTGCCTTGTTCCTGCCAGGAAAAATGGGCTCAGTTTCAGGTCGAATCCGTGGCGAAGGCTCCCAGAGCTCTAAGATGTGGCACCTTGTGGGTTCAGAGCAGGTTCAGCTCCTTAATTAGCTGGCAGTGAGGAATAACCTGTGAAACAGAGTGGTCTGGAGCAGAGAGAGGGTTGAAGAAGCGGGGGGTGTAGCCCAGGAAAGCCGTGATCTCTGGTGGGAAAGAGCTTTTCTCACACACCTGATCAATTTTCCTGCCTTTTTCTCCTTCTCCCTCAAGAAACCACTTTTCTCCATCCCCTGATCCCTCAGGATACTGCTTCTGCAAAGGGAGGACGACAGCCCTGCCTTGTCCCCTGGATCATAAACTCCTCGCAGCTTGGTCCAGGTGCCATCATGGTGCTCGGTGACACGAGGCTCCTGCCCAGATTCCAAATTATTGGAGGATGCACAGGACGTGCCACCCCCTGGGCTGGGGCTGGAACATCTCTTCCCCCCCTCCAGCTGCAGGGATTTGCTTCCTGGCTTTGATTTCTTCTGCTAAATCAATTTTTAAAAAAAAAAAAACAACCACAAAACCCAAACCAAACCAACCAGCGTTTCGCAGGATGCCCATGGACTTTTTGCTAGTTCATTTATTTTGCTAAATGCCATTTGTAATCGCCAGCCGCCCGTCCTAGTACAAATATAATTACATATTTATTGCCGATATAATTCTGAGTTAATTATACGGCAACTAATTTTCTCCGCGAGGGGTTGTAATATTTGGGTGTAAAGGAGACAGCTGTAATTCCGAGCGCTTCTCTCCCCCGCTTCTTTAGCACACTATGGGATGTTGCTCCGTTATTCCAGAGGCACCGAAGGGGACCAGCCAGAAGAATTTTTGGTTCCTGAAGCTGCCGAGGACCGAGCGTTCCCGACATGAGATGCTGGACCTCCTCGCTCCTCATTAAGATTCCCTTCGCAGCCCGTTTTTGTGTGTTCATTAGTGGGTAAATATCTATTGTTGGGCTCTTTATCAGTTGGAAGAATTGCCGGCCCTTTGTTTTCTAAATTGTTCTTTCATCTCTGAAGATGCTGTTTGTGTGGGAAACACTGCTCAACACACTGCCTCCTGATTAGACTCACTTCCTTTTGTCTGCCCCTTGAATGGATGTTTTCCAGGAGAGCCCCGATAATGAAGCCATCTCCAGATTGAGGTGATTAAGCCCTCGGCTTCCTCTGATCGCTTGTTTGGTTTTTTTTTTTTTGGCCCCATCCAAAATTTTGGGGCTTGTCACATGAAGTGTCCGGCTTTTATTTGATTCCGGATTTGATCCTTCTGCAGCTGGAGAAGGATCTGCTGCTCTCACCTGGATCCTGTGTGATGAAGAAAGTACCCACCTTCCTGGAGTCAGGTCCTCAGTGAGATGCTCTTAAGCTACTTATGTCCCTCAAAACAGCCAGAAAGCCCCCGGCGACCTGGGGCAACCAGCAGGGTGAGAAGGGGGGGATTCTGCCCCTCTGCCCTGCTCTGGGGGGATGTCCCCCATCTCTGGGGGCATCAGAAGGACACGGAGGTGTCAGAGCGGGGCTGGAGGAGGTCCCAGAGATGCTGGGAGGGCTGGAGTCCTCCCTGAGGGGGGCTGAGAGAGTTGGGGGGGTTCAGCCTGGAGAAGAGAAGGCTCTGAGGAGACCTTGGAGCCCCTTCCAGTCCCTCAAGGGGCTCCAGGAGAGATGGAGAGGGAGCAGGGATGAGGGAGGGGAGCCATGGGACCAGGGGGAAGGGTTTTAAGCAGAAAAAGGGGAGATTTAGGGAGAAATTGTTGACTCTGAGGGTGGTGAGAGCCTGGCCCAGGTTGCCCCGAGAAGCTGTGGCTGCCCCATCCCTGGAGGGGTTCAAGGCCAAGGTTGGAGGGGGCTTGGAGCAACCTGCTCTGGTGGGAGGCATCCAGGGATGGAACTCAATGGTCTTTAAGGTCCCTTCCCACCCAAGCCCTTCCATGATTCCATGAGCAGGGCCATCTCCACCCAGCCCAGGTCGCTCAAAGCCCCGTCCAACCTGACCTTGAAGGTTCCCAGGGATGGGGCATCAAAGAGGGGAGATTTGGAG